GGAAGAAAGAGAAAGAGCAAAGCCAACAGACTTGTTAAAAAATTATTCTAGAATTTAACTTGTGGAAAACAATTTTGTCATTTTTTTCATTGAGTTGGTTAAAAATCTCTTTATCAGTTTAAATAGTGGCTATTTTCCTCCTTCAACAAGTGTTTTCTTTTTTCTTTTACAGATTAGTTGGATGTTGTATATAGCATTTAAGTTCATCCAGCACCATTCAATTACAACCAGCACAACCTAGAATGTGGGAAATTCTACAAGACAGATGACTCAGTTCTTATAACTTGTTTTCAACACTTGGTTTTAGAAAAAGTACTTGGACTGCTTTGGGGAGAATAAACTGTAGAGACAAAGGTAGAAACATAGAAACTTTTGGGGATGCCACAATTGTTCTATTAAGACATGATGGTAAGGACTAGGATGTTTGTCTTGGCCTGTTTTATGCTGTTGAAGTACCACAGACTAAGTAATGTATAATGAAAAGAAATTTATTGGGTCACAGCTTTTGAGGTTAAGAAATCTAAACTTGAGAGAGGTTGTGCTATTCCTGTAAGCTCAGCTCTTAGAAAGCTGAGGCAGGACGATCACCATAAGTTCAAGATCAGCCTGGGCTACAAAGTGAACTCAAGGCCAGTATGGACTACAGAGCAAAAGCCTCTCTAAAAAATAAATCAAGGAGCCAGCATTTGGTGAGGGGCTTTTGCTATGTCATCTTGTGGCAGAAGGGATGGGAAGGGACAAGAAGACTGGAGGGAGGGAAAGAAAAGAAAAGAAAAAAGGCAGAGGCATGTTAGGCCTTTTGAGATTTTAGGTCAAATCCAGCAAATTAGCATTTATTCTTCATTCTACTGGCCTAATCAAGTCATATACTTGAAGACAAGGTTACAGTCTTATGAAATTATTAGTCAAAAACATTGATACAAGAAAGCATAAAAAATTTGAGTTCAATAACTCAATCTCTCATATATACAAGACAGTCCTCGAGCATTTTAACTTTCTAAGGTCAAGTTTTAATCCTACAGCTACCTTGTTCCCTTCATCTAATGAGGGTCAAACATAAAAGTTATCCTAGACATAATCTTAACCACTGCTCTCCTTTTTTCCAAAGAGAGCAACTGGTTATTGAAAGCACCAATTTTTTGCTTCTTGTCAAAAGGATGAAAATACTAACTATATTAACAAGCAAAAAAACAGCAAGATGTTCTAAGATGACAAAATGTGCCATCTATCAGCAAAGAGAGAAGGAAACTAAAACCAAACCTAAACAATGCATCTGGAAGAAGAAAATGATAAGAATCTGCATCTAAATTTGGTAGGAAAAGTTTTATACCCAACGTAAGTATCTGATAAAATAACTAATATGAATTCATAAAGCCTTATCAGATATCAGAAACTCAGTAACAAGGGCTAAGTTCTAATTTTAAATAGACTGCAACCAAAAATATTTCAGGTTGTGAGTATACATAAAATGTACATTTTTTGGGCAGGGATTGTGTTTTGTTTTGATAACTGCTTTCTAAATATATAATAAAATTCCCAGGCTTTTGAATTTCTGTGAAAGTAAAAAAATTTTTATAGAATACTATCTGCTGTGATCAGCTTAGGTAATAATCCTAGACGTTCAAAAATAATGAATCAGATCATATGGTACTAGAACTTGTACACTACCTTATATTTTAAGCATCTTTTGCTAGATTTAGAGATTTTTTGAGCTCAGGGGGACCTCAGAGATGATAATTACCTAATTTTATAGATAAAGTGACGGAGGCCCAGAGAGCTTAACCTGATTCTTTTGACATAATTTTTTAAAAATCATATGATTTGTAACCTGGTGACATCAAGAAAAGGTAGCTGAAGTCAGAGACTCTACTCTTACCTCCACTCCATCAATGCATAATCTCCAGTCATCGTCTATCTTAGTCTATTTTCTGTTGCTATTACAAAATACCCATGGCCGGATAATGCATTTTAAAAGACACTTTTTTAAAATTTAGTTTAAGGTTGGCCCTCCCTGGTAAGCAGTGGTGGTCTGGCAGACTGCGGCCCTTCCAGGGGAAGAACCAGCAGCAGCTCCTGAGATCCACACCATGTTAGAACTTAGGATGCTGTGAAACCAAACAACCAGCCTGCCTCCTTGCTAAGCAATAGTGAACCTACTGATACCAATGCATGGCCTAGAACCAAATATCCCATTCCCCTACCCCCCCCCACCCATTAGCAAATGGGAACCAGAAATCTGAGTGTCTCCTGGGAGGATGACATAGCACATTACGGGACTTCCTTCTACCATCTCTTTGAAGGCAAATATTTTTATTACTGTTTTGCTCTTCTCTGATTAATTGTATTGCTCTACTCAATATTCTGTTTTAATAAGTTCTATAGTGTTCTATATTTCATCTCATTTTGATATACATTGCTAGGATTATTTCCAAAAGATGAAAAATATTTCCAAAAGATGAGAACTATAAAATAAAAAGCAGCCTTTATTCTGAGAACACGGAGAGAGATGGCCGGCACCCCCACTGCTGCCGTCCAGCGATCTCTCCGGCGACATGTGGTGTGGGGGCATGTAAATAGCCTTGGTTTGGGGTGGAACCTAGGCGGGCATTAGGGATGTACAGTAGCCCATTGGTCCTAGGTTTGGCGCCATATGTAAATTTCCAGGGGCGGGAAGATGGCATCACAGGTAACTTCCTAGGGGCGGGGGAGATAGGGGCTTCCTGCTTCCGGTTGAGGCTTTCCTGGCTACAGTGTCCTGTCTGGGCCAAAACCCTTTCATACATGATTGAAAGAACAACTATTATAAAGATAACAAAATATACTGTGATACTTATTACTATTATCTTGGTAACCTGCTGTGAAGTTCTGTACCAATTTCACTGTACGATCTTAGTTGGCTTTATTCTGTCTTGTTCTGTTGTATACTTTCAAAATAAAATTTTTTAAAAAATTTAGTTTAAGGTTCTGGAAGTCCAAAACATGGAACTGGCATCTGATTGACATCTGATGACAGTCTATTGGTGGAAAGTGAAACCCAAGTGGGCACACATAGAAGACAGAGGCAAGGAAAACTAAATCCACTTTATATGAACTAGAGTTCATGATAATTAACCTATTCCCACAGGAGCTACATTAAGTCCATTATGACAGTGAAGCCCCCAAGATCTAATTACCTTGTAAAATCCTAACATCTCTATACAGTTAGACTAACAATAATTTTTATAACAAATTATATTTATACCCCAGCATTCTCCTTTAATTATTTTACTCAGTAAATGACTTAAGAAAAACTATGATTCACTGCTCAACAAAAGCTTCCAGATAAGTTCTCCTAAATGCCTTTCCCTTTGCTCAAACCAATGTAGAAATCTTAGCAAGACCATATTCCATGTTCAAGAACAACTTTCCTTCACTCTTACAGATGGAATGCTTGTGCATCTGCAGATTCCTATGCTGAAATCTTACCCCAAAGCTTATAGTACTGAGGTGAAGTTTTTAGGGTGCAATTATGATTAGATAAGGTTATGTGAGGATGGAGATGTCATAAATTTGGGTCCCATAGATTCTTCCTTCCACTATCTCTGCCATATGAGGACACAATGAGAAGCTGGCAGTCTACAACCAGGAAAAGACCATTTCCAGAAGCTGTCAAGATGATCTGTCTTTAAGCCTTAGAATATGAGAAGTCAATTTTATTATTTCTAAGGCACCCAATCTATGGTATTTTGTTATAGCACTAAGACATTGTCACCAATGTCTGCAGTTATATGGTGCTTGAAGAATTGGAAGATTTGTTGGCATCCTGTTACTTTTATTCCCTTCATCTTCATGTGTCTCTCTACCTGACTCGCATTTAGGGCCAGACTTTGGAGACAGTATCTATGTACTACCTGTGGAAAACAACACATTTCTTTTTCTCTGTAGACAGTACCCAGTTGGCCTTTCTAAGATTAATTTCTTCTTGAGAGTTTAACTAGCAGTTTTTTGTTCAGTCTCTCTTTTCCAGTGGTAGCAACACATAGGCTTCCAAAGTCCTTTCTGGAATCGAATATGGTCCTTTCCCCCCTCTTTCATTTTAGGGAATCTTAAGTTCAGAAAGTGTTGCTTTGCACATTTGCTCTCGATCTCTAAAGTTTAAACACAGTTTAACTCAGTCTCTTAATGATGCTGTTAAAGATAAAACTAGATGTTAAACCAGTAAGGACATATCAATAACGTACTATTACAAAAGAGAGGAAGGCCTGGTGTGAACTGAATCCATAAAAAGGCTAATAGGAGTTTAGAGAAGACAAGAAGGAAGGGCACTACCAGGGATTCAGTAGAGTCAGGAGTTGAAAAATTAAAGAGGGCTGGTCAATGTAAATGTAAGTAGACAGCTCTATCTGCCAGATAACAATTGTCAAAGTTAGGGATGTATTCCCTGCACCAGAGACTGAGAGATGCAGGACCTGTCTTTCCTGTTGATTATAAGTGGATGGCATTCAGGTCCTGTAGAAAAAGACCTGGTAGGTAAATATAAATCTCAAAGAGACAGAAGAATTGCTAACTATAAGCCTTTTTCAGTAAATGCGGTAGGAAAGGGTGGTGAGGGACCTATCCTTAGGTATTGGCTAGAACAAATAGTAAGTTCTTTTGGCAGCCTTTAGCTTTCTCAGGCAAGCACCTGAAGAGGGCCTCTGGTCATCTAGGGAGGCAAACTATGTTAGCTTTTAGACTTTTAAAACATTTTACACAGGAGATTGAACCTAGGTTCTTCGTGTAAGCAGCTACATCTCATCCACAGCCCACCCCTTTTTTCTTTTTCCTTACCTCGAGAACTCGCAACCCTACGCTTGCCAGGCAGGCGCTTTGGCCACTGAGCTAAATCCCCAGCCCTAACAAGTCACTTTCAAATGCACCACAACGTGCGAAGACAGCATTGGACTACAAAGGACAACTCACTGGACTGACACATTTTGATGACGTCAGAACAGGGCGGATTTTAGCTAGAAGCGGGCGCGCTTCCAGGACAGCTGTTTTGGACCTCACTGGCACCCTTACGAGAGCCCGGGCGGTGACGGTGTGGCCACGTCCGCTGCGGCGGCGAGAGGAGAATTTGTTGGACTTCTAGGCGGCTGCTGTTAACCATGGCTTTTACCCTATATTCGCTGCTGCAGGCGGCTCTGCTGTGCGTGAACGCCATTGCTGTGCTGCACGAAGAGCGCTTCCTCAAGAACAGTGAGTAAGGCCCTGTGGCGCGGGCTGAGGGGCCAGCAGAGCCAGAGAGGCGCGGACCAAGCCAGGCCGCGAGGGGTGACCACCCGGGCCGCAGAGGCAAGGCGCACTGCTTGGGGAGAGGTGGTCGCTTCATAGGAGGCAAGCCGAGCCACTTTCCTCTCGCCAGGTTTGCACTCATTGGCAGGGCGAATGCTGAACGGCTGCCCACGATGCATTTCTCTGTTCCTGATTTTAATGGTCGAAAAGGTAGAGGTCTGAATTTTGAGTGAGTTGAAACGGGGCGGGGCGTGGTTCACTTTAGAGCTTTGGTACTTAAGAAGAATGGGCTGATCAAGGGCAAACAAAGCTTCTTACGCTTTGGGAATAGTAAGAACGGGAAAGTATGGGAGTTATCAAGACAGTCAGCCACTCACGTTCCAATATGTTTAGGACAGCCAATGGGGCGCCTGTAGAGGCCAAGGACTGTGCTAGAATTTAGGAATATAAAGATGAAGAAAAAAGTATGGCTGTCTTCACAAGCCAAGGAATCATCACGCCAGCCTGGGCAGAATTTTTACTGAGGTAGAATTGCGATTGGGTACTGCGTGATGTGAATTATTTGTCGCAGCATACCAAGTATGACCGTGCGAATCATTAAAACTCAAGAAAAAATTTATCGAGCACATTATTCGTGCTCATATTATGTACCGGGCCCGTGTAATAAGAGCCAAAGCTAAAGCATTTCCATTTCTCTTCTAATGGAGTTAAATCAAAATGAAAATAAGTAACAAATACGTACAATATCATGAAAGAGAAATGCACAGTGACGGTAACTTGAGAATCTCCAAAACTTTGGAGAAAGTGTGTCCAACCTGAAATCTGATAAGTGAGTAAATATTAAGTAGGTGAAGATGAAGGGGTGGGAGGGTGAGAAGATTCATGAGCAGTGGAAAGCTGATGTGGAAATTCTGAAGCAGTTGAAAACAGTCTTAAGGTAGTGATGTCAACAGATTTTTGCTATTTGCAAATCCTTGTAGCTCACAGTATGGGGGACACATTGGAAGGGAAAGAAGTAAATGTGGGAAGAATAATTCCAAGTAAAGGAATTTCTGCTTTACAGATGGAAAACCTGACTCAAAAAGTAGGTAATTTTTCTAAGATTAGACAGATAGAAACTAGGCATTCTGACCCCAGAGACTGCTGCTGTTGTACTGTGTAAGAATAGTGTCTGTGGGGAAAAAAAAAAATGCTGAAGTCTTAACTCTGGGTAAGCCACACCTTGACTGTGACCTAATTTGGAAACAAGACCTTTGCACATGTTATCAAATTGAGATATCATACGAGGTTAGATGTTGTTGGATCTTAAATCCAAGGACTGGTGTGAAGTGTGATACAGAGGCACACAAAAGAATGCCTGAGGAAACAAGTCTGTGGGACCAGAGGCAGAGATTTTATGTGATATGGCTACAAGCCAAGGAACCCTAAGGATTTTTAGCAACTATCAGATGTTAGAAGAGGCATGGATGAGATGATTCCTCAGAGCTTTCAGCAGTCATCCGTCCTGCTGGCACCTTACTTTTGGATTTCTGGCATCCAAAACTGAGAAAAAAAATTTCTGTTGTAATAAGCTTCAATATGAGGTGCCCTAGAAAACTAATACAGCTGAGAAGATACTTCAAAGGTTAAAAAAGGAGAACATAATGTTGGACTTTGGGACTGAGGGATAAGGTCAAAGATCTCTTAGGAGTCTCTGTCCTTAAACTACTGAGCGATGGTAGTACATTAGAGAGCAGTATACGCATATGTGATAAAAGGGTAACGATCATTACAGTGATATTTTTAAATCTTCATAATTAAAGTTAAAAAAAGAATTATTGTCAATAGAAAGGATCTAGTAAAGGAAAATTGGGAGTAATAGTGGTAGATAAGAGGTAAAAACATAAAATGTTTTTGTTTTTTGGTACTAGGCATCGACCTCATGCTTCACACCCAAAATAAGCTTTGGACTTGCTGAGTTTGACATTTCTATGAGATACAAAATGGGAGTGTAGAATAATCATTGGATTTAATTTCATAGAACAGAAACATAAACTACTGTGAAAACTGAAATTTGAGTTTATCACTGGGCTTGGTGGCACATGCCTTTAATCCCAGCACTCAAAAGGCTGAGGCAGGAGGATTACTGCAATTTCAAGGCCAGCCTGGGTTACATAGTGAGTTAAGGTTAGCCTAGACTACATAGCTCTGGCCTGTCTCAAAAAACAAACAAACAAAAATGAGTTTGTAAATCACTGATAATGAATGAAGCCATGTGAGGAGAAAAAAATGTATTCATGGAAGAGTAGAATACAAACATAATTTATGCTCAAGACAGTCCTGGACTCTCCTTTTGTATTTAATGTTAATGTAGAGGTAGAAGAGCTGACAGTAAACTTGAAGTAAAAAAACAGAGATCTGGGAAACAGAAATGCAGATGATAAAGACCAGTCTCAGATCATCTGGGAATAGACTCCATTGGCAGTTGGATTCTATCTAAGCCATGTATTATGCAGTGGCAGAAAATTTTACATTTTGCTCATGTTCTGGGACTTAGAAGACTGAGATTAAGGTTGATGGGCTAATATTAATCTGGAGAAGGATATTGCAAGGCAGCCCACTATTCACTGTGGAGTAAGTTGTTGGAGGTTTTTAGCCAGCTTTCTGTTAAGAATCAAGGGTAAACAGCGTAGCTCAGTGCTTTTAAAAGTTTTGAGTTTTACCAGAAAGGAAACTACTGTAAATGTTTTTCTTTTGAAGTATATGCTTACAGAAAGCATTTGTTGAATTTCAATGGGGATTAATGGAAATTTCATTGAACTGGGAATTACTTAGAACTAAGAGTTATTTAACCTTACTGAGATAGTTACATTATCATTTATATAATAAAAGCAATTTCAAAAACTTACATTAGCACAGTTTTTTTGTGCAATTTATTAGATACTTTCTTATTCATGACACAATTTGATTCACCTGTGGACTTGGTGACTTTGATAAATTACAATGCATTTTCTTTTTCACTATGGAAACTGATTTCGCTGACCCTCAAAACTGTAGCAAATACTTTTTCTTTACAGACTAAGATGAGGGTTTTTGACCGAGCCTGGCTGAATTGCTATTTCATGTTTCTTTGAAGTCTAGCACAGCAGAGAAATATGTATGATATTTGTAGTTAATAACTTTAAAATTCTGTATTTTATGGAAAAAAGGTAAAACAATTTCATAACAAGATGATAGGAGAAGAGCTGGGGGTTTAGCTTAGTGGCATAAGTGCCTGCCTGGCAAGTGCAAGGTCGTGAGTTCAATCCCCGGTACCGCCAAAAAAAAAAAAAAAAAAAAAATGATAGGAGAATAACAATTGTTAATACATTGCATATTATTATTATCTTTAAAGTAGTTACTCAGAGTACAAGATAAGGACATAAAAAACTTTCCGATCAATACAACAGCAAATCTTCCCTCGCTATGAACTAAGAGACACTAATAATATAGCTAACTTGAAGTTTTTCTCTCTTTTCCCTTCCTTCCTTTCCTCCTTCTCCCATCCTAGGTCCTTTTAGACAATTTCTTCTCATTTCACACTATCTGTTGTACATTTTAGACCTTCCAGTTTCTCACACAAGGGTAAAATTCTGTTTTTCTGTTTAAATTTCTGGAATTGTGACAGGAACTACTGCTGACTGGTATTATCATTTGTTAATACCTGTTGCTTTGGAAGCAACAAAGCCACAGAAATTACATCTTTCTCTTGGGGAAAAAAAAAAGGTGAAACTTACAGTTGGCTGGTTTCCTGAGTAAAACAACTGGTATTTCCTATATAGCAATTGGAAGGAAATCTATTTTACTTTAGTGAAAGATAATCCTTGGCGCCTTGTCTTTTACTTGCTACATTTGTATTTTTGTGTGAACCATCTGCACAAATGATTTACTTTCCACCCAAAATTGTTTGCTTTTTCATACTGGTGACAAAAAGAGACTGGGCTACAATTAACTGATAAGTTACCATTTGTTTTAATTACTTAAGTGCCAATGTTTAACTTATTGTACTTCTAATTTTATCTTGTTATGTTGAAGAGCAGTTTAATTAGAAATTATATTGTTTATGGGAGTCATTCATGGTAAAAAGTGTTTAAACACCTTTTGAAACAGGTCTAAAAGATTGGAGGAAGTTTTGGTTTCTAATAAAAATTGTGTGCATGCATGTTTCATATAGTTTTTATTCAGTTGGTAAATTGAGGCCATTTACATCAATGGTTATAACTGATGTGTATTGGCTTATCTTTGTTATGATATTTTCCTGCTCTTGGTTCCCTGCTTTTCTCCTCTGTGTGACAGCTTGCCCTGCCTGATTATCTTTTTTTCCTGTGGTTCTTGGAACTCTGGTCATTTATCTCTGTCTAGATATTTATATATTTATTTATATATTCTCTGTCTAATATATTTATATTTATTCAGTATTCTTTGTAGGGTTGGTTTGGTGATTGTGAATTCTTTCGCTTGTTCTTTGTTATGGAAGTATTTTATTTCTCCATAAATTTTGAAAGATAGTTTTACAGCATATATCAGTCTGGGTTAGAAGTTGTTTTCTTTCAGGACTTGAAATACTTCACTCCAAGCTCTTGACTTTAGGGTTTATGTTGAGAAGTCTGCCATGATTCTGATGGGCTTTCCTTTATAAGTAATGTTTCTTTTTTTTGACAGCTTTTAATATTCTGTTCTTGTGTTGGATTTCTGGAATCTTGATTGTTATATGCCTTGGTTTAGTTTATTTTTGTCATGAATGTTTGGATTTCCATGGATTTCATTTTATTTGTGTGTCAAATTCTTTATCCAATCTTGGGAGTGTTCTGCCATTATTTCTGTGAAGTTTTTTTTTTTTATGGCATTTGTACAATCTCTTGCTTTCTCATTGACCCAGTTAATCTTATTTATTCTTCTTTGCTTCACCATCTAGCTGTTGAATTGATTTTTCATAGTCTCTTGCTATTTTTAAGATATTTTTCTGTTGATGATCACTAGCTGCAATACTCTCAAGATCTGATCTCATACCCTGTCCTTTAATCTGTTGCATGTACTTTCAATGGAGATTTTAATCTCTTGGATATCTGTTTGGATCTGTTTCATGGATTCCATTTCTTTCCTATGTTGGGCATTGTTTGTTTCCATCATTATTCTAAGCTTATCTGTTCTTCTTTGATTTTAAACATCATTTCTTTTTGTACCTGAGAGATTATTTTCTCTATAGCCTTTCCATTTGTATTTTTACTTGTGTTGCTGTCATTTCAGAAAGTTTCAGTTTTTGACTTACAGGTTTGTCTATCTCTTTGTCTTCCAGGCTTGACCCGGGTAGGCTAGGAGTCTGGAGTTAGATGTAGGTGATTCTTTATAGCTATCCCAAGAACCTACCTTCTAATTTGTAAAGGATGCAAAGTTTCTATTTGGCTCAGCACTCAATTCTTTGGCACTGGGCTATGGGGATGATTATAATCCCATACAATGAAGTGTTATCATATAGGGGAGAAAAACTGATTATAACGTGTATGACATCCTAGCTAAAGTAGTACAGTTAGTAATATACTAACAGTAGTTTCAAGTACAGCTTAACTACTGACAAACTATGGTAACCATTAATCTGCTGCAAACTCTAAAGTTACATGACAAAATCAAACATAGCCCATGTATCTATATGCAGTGATTTTCCCCTTACTGGAGTGACTTTACTCTTCCGTGGGGCGGGGTGGGGGGCGCAGGGGGATAATACAGGGGACAGGATAAAGTGATGAATGAGGTCAATTACAGTAGAATCAAGACTGGAGATCAAAGGATGCTCATCCGAGTTTTGGGAAACTGGAGGACACAGGAAGGAAAGAATGAAATAGAATATGAAGGAGTAATCAGATAGGGAAAAGACACTGTGTACTCCCTTGACAGTTTAAATTCAAGAGGTAATTGAGGAAAGACAGAGATCAGTAGAAGAAAATGAAAAAGAAACCTTTTTTTCAACTAAACAGTGAAAAAAGAGAAGGAAAATGAAAAAAAAAAGAGAGAAAAAAGGAAACCAGAGAAAGAAGAGGTGAGGAAAAATAAACCCAAACACAAAACAAGACAAGAGGACATCCAACTAGACAGGCAAGGGATAGCCAGTTAGACAAACTAGAGAATAAAAGTAGTAAGATACCTCTGGTGTTTACAGTTCTGTGATAGTGCTTGTGTCAGATCCCAGAAATGTGCTGTGTATCCCCCTAAGTTTGCCGTGGGTGTGGTTGGTTAGTCTTGGTCTCTGGATGTGAGGGCTGGGACTGATCTTACGTTGGTGCAGTCCTCCAGAGCCCAACAGCTGAACTCCTTGTTGCTGCTTCAGACACTTGGACATTGCAGGTATCACTCATTACTGTGCCCTCCAAAGGCATGTGTGAGCCAGTGCACCCCACCCGGCTGTCCTGGGTCCCCGGTTCACGTCAGTCTGTCTGCCAAAGACTTGTGTGTGCCTGGATGCCCGGGAACCAACTATCCTGGGTCTAGGGGTTCAGGTCAGTCCTTCCACCGCATACAGTTCTTAAAACAAATTCTTTTTACTATTTGAGAAATTGTGGCTGTGGGAAGAAAAGATTGATAGAATATTAGCAATGATAAATTTCATAAATGCAGGTAAAGAAAATGAAACCAACTAATAACATTTAAAGCAGTTTCAAAACCAGGCATGGTGGCGCACTCCTGTAATCCCAGCACTCATGAGGCTGAGGCAGGAGGATTGTTGCAAGTTCAAGGCCAGCCTATGCTACAAAGTGAGCCCAAGGCTAGCCTGAACTGCATAGAGACCCTGTCTCCAAAAAGACAAAATAAAATAAAATGTGGTTTCAAAACATAATTTTAAATATTCCTAATAATATATGGGTGGAGCTCTTCCACTTAGCAGAACTCATCCCGTCCTTTAAAATGTTTTTCTCCCAGGAATCTCTAATTACAGAGGGCTTCTTTTCCAATAGGTAAGTGTTTTTACAGGCCTTCTTTTTAAATTTTATTTTTATTTTTACCAAAGAAATACGCATTTTTTAAAGTAAGAAATATGTAAAATTTGTAATTTTTATAATATATAAAATAGAAGCCCACCTCCCACTTTGATGGGGATTGAACCCAGGACCTTTGCACTGAACTTCATTCCCATCCCTTCAAATTAATTAATTAGTTTATTTATTTATTTTTATATTTAGGACTGAGTCTAAGTTGGGAAATTGCTCAGGCTGGGCTTGAACTTGGAATCATCTCACCTCTGTGTCCCAGAGTGGTCTTTCTTCTTGACTTGTGGGTTCTGTATCAAACTCTAGACTGAAACCAGTTTTTCTTCAGAGTTTTGAAGAATGTGCCATTTAATTTTCTGATTAACCATGTTACTGTTTAGTGCCATCTCGCTTTTTGATTCCTTGTAGGTAACCTCATTTCATTAAACCTTTAAGATAGTCTATCTCTGAAAGTTTTCAATAATTTGCCAACATGAGGGTCTTTTGTTCATTGGGCTGTATTCTGATATGTTTGGCCATTTTATAATTCATATGACTTAAAAGTGAACTAGAGTTGTGCGGAAATTTTATTAATCTTCAAAATTTTCCTAATCGTATCATTTATTGGATTAGATTAGTTGACTGTATTTCAGTTTAATTCCATAAATATTTGCTAAGTACTTGCTGTGGGGATGGGGAGTAAAGAATAGTGGAAAGATGAAAAAGATGACTAAATTGTATTCCCTATCCTCTGAAAGTTTGTAATGGGAGACATTTGAATAAAATGAACCAAAAGAGATTACTATAATCAGATTATTTTGAACGTAAAGAGAAAGGTTTATTATGACACGTGGAAAGGAATTACTGACAGTAATTAATAGATAATGTTTCATAGGTTATCTCTCGGTATCAAAAAAGAATTGGTTCCAGGACATATTGACACATCTAAAATGTCAGTTTAAGGAGTTTGTACTTTATTCAGTAGGTAATGGGAATCATTACAAGCTTCCAAGGAAAACTATACAAGGGATTGAAACTGATATTACAGAGGCATTTGCTGAATTGACCAGAGATAGTAGAGGCCAGTGGTGGTAAACTTGTGGCATGCATGCCACAACAGGCTGTTTGTTATTATTGAAAACTCTGAAATGCTCACCATCACTCGGATAGGTAGCGTAGTTGTAACTAAGCTGGAGTTTGTGCTCTGAAAGCTCAGCATGACCAGTGTGAGAGCTAAAGGGCTGTACACAAAACCAAGAGTCTAAAACATTAGCTCTGATGTGAACCTGAATTTTATATTAGTTTTATAGCATGACATATCTCAGTGAAGGAAAAAAAAAAGCAAGCAAGCATTATTTGTCCTTTATTTCAACCAAATAAAAGCTAGTTAAGCAAAGTGAAATTTTGTTTCCTGATACTTGGTTCTTTTGAATATAAAATACAGATTTGTTGTCTTCCACGGGTTAGTTTGGGAATTAATTAAGCCCTATAGTCTTCTAGGTAGTGAAAAGTATACCTGAAATGGGACAAGAGAAAGACAAATTGAAGAAGGACATATAAGTTTTTAGGAGAAATTATTTATAGTAATAATAAAAGAACTACCCTATAAAAATATGCAAAGGGTTATAATAGGAAAATTATACAGGAAAGGGTAAAAGGCTCATTTATGGAGAATAATGGGTATAGTGAGCAAATATCTATCCTACAATGAAGAGAAGACAAGTGCTCACCAACAAGTTACATTCCCATTCTGACACTGTAGCTTATTTTATAAAATCAAAGTGTAAATGAGGTGCTACTATAAAAAGAAAATATTTAACTCAATATCAAAGACATCTGATTTTATATATTTTCTTTAACAAGGTCTCAAACTAATCTTTTAAAAGATGACTAATGAAGGAGCAAGAGGAGTGCATAGTAAATTTTTTTTTCTTTCTTTCTTTTTTTTTTTTTCTTTTTATCTGTACCAGGGATTGAACTCACGACTGTCTGCTTGCAAGGCAGGCACTTATGCCGCTGAGCTAAATCCCCAGACCCCAGTGCATAGTGAATTTTAACACACCTAATCATTTTTCTGTTATACAGTTGGCTGGGGAACAGACCAGGGAATTGGTGGGTTCGGAGAGGAGCCAGGAATTAAGTCTCAGCTAATGAACCTGATTCGATCTGTAAGAACTGTGATGAGAGGTAAGAAGAAAAATTTGCGGAGCACTCTTTAGTTTTAATTTTGTGATTTGATTTAAATAACAACACTTGAGTATGAATGTGATCACATAAGCTTTTTATAGTGGGAATTTTTTTCTCCTTAACCTGCCTTTACTGCTTGAAAGTTACTGGCTTCTTAGGTTGCCACTCACTTGCTAAGCCAGTTGATATAAATAGAATACTCAGTGCTATTTATAATCTATTTGTATTACCAATCAGAGGTGAATGATGGAGTAACATCCCTGCTTTCTAGACATTGTTCCTTCCAAGTTGTAAACTTACCTAGCATTCTGGAAGACCTTCAAGGTCCTATGTCTGTCATTATAATGGAAAATATTTTTAAACAAATCAAAAAAGAAGTATCAAATGCATTGCATTTAAAAATTGAAGTTGGGGAACCTTTTTTTCTCTCTTTTAGCCATTTTAATCAAACTTTGGGTTCAGTGTTGATAAATTCATTCTTAATTTAGTAATGAAGCTACAGAATCTTCTTTACAGTGTGTTTTTCATCCCCTGTGTCACTGCAGCCATGTGGATCTACTTCTGCCAGGCTTGGTGTGCTTCTGTGTTTGCACAGTTGCACCAGCACAGTCGCAAGGAATTTCATATTGATCAACTTGTGCAGCACGATCTATTTGTAAACTCCATTTAAATAAATTGTGGGTTTTATGACACAGTGCATTTTTTTAAAGTTCTTTTGTTATAATTATTTACAACATGATTATGATGATACACTTAAATTTTTTTCATCTTTCCTGGATGTTGGTTATTACTGATTAATTTTTTTCTTGGTTTTTCTTTATAGTAACAAACTTTTTTTTTCTTTTTGCAGTGCCATTGATAATAGTGAACTCAATTGCTATTGTATTGCTCTTATTGTTTGGGTGAATATCTGTGGAAGAAACAGAGACTTCTAAGAAGAAATGTCAGCAGAAGTTACTGCTTTGGTCATTATTGAAATATTCAGTTATTAGCAGGTCAGCCTTGCACTTGGCAAAAATGTAAAGTTGTCAATAAAACCAGAGTTTTTATTTGTCTGATTTTTTTTTTTAATGCTGTTCTTGTACTTTTGTTACAAAATGATTGGAACACCAGAGCCAGCAACTCTCCAAGATTGGACTATGTTTGATTGCTAGCTGTTAATATAGTTCATGCTGTGCTATGCTATGCTACACTATGCTATGCTATGCTATGCTATGCTACGCTATGCTATGCTATGCTATGCTATGCTATGCTATGCTATGCTATGCTAAAAATTGTTAAAGGATATAGGACTGTTGTTTCTGCTTTTTTTGGAGGGGGATTGTTGTGTTTAGTTTTGTTTGGAGGTATTTTTCTATTTCTCACTTCTCAGGGATGAATTTTTTCCAAAAGTTTTGAAGTTCCTTGTGACATAGCCATGACAGATTATCCCTGTAGATAAAATGTAAGATTTTTTAAAATAATTATTACATATAAAGGTAAATAGTTCATTTCAATAATTTTATTTTGAATTTTTTAGTTAAATATTTAGTGTGCATGTTGTCTGCTGTGCTGTGAGAGATTTAAACTTATAAATACTGAAAGAGACAATACTCTGATTTCAGGGAGAATTCTAATTTTATAAGTCAGTCACATGGTGATTTTTTTTTTTTTTGGTTTTACTTCTTTATTATACATTTGTTACTTTATTGACTAGTTTAGATGAGACCAGATCAATATCTGCATATTTTCATTGGTAGAAAGACTTATATAGAAAAGTCTGTGCCCTTTTTACAGTAATGACTTAGTTAATAAATCAGCACAAATACTAGCCTACAAGAGCAATCCAAAACAATCAAACTATGACTGTTTATTGTGAAGCATTTACCTCCCCAAAATTGTCATGCTTCCTTTTTTTGATGGAATAGTACATTAAAGAGTAGGATTCTAATTCTTTATTGTAAATAAGCATTCATGCTAGATGAGTTTTTAGTTTTGTTTTTATGTCTTAGACCATCTTGGGAGGATTTTTACTTATCACATACTATAGTTTTATGTAGAAAAGTTAAAACTGTAAATGGTTTTTGTGAAGTGTCAGTTATAATATTTGAAAGTACAATGTTTCTGTTTATAGAAATTTTATAAATAAAGTTGAATTTCCTAGACAAGCATGTGTTTTGTACCTGTCTTGGTTACTTTTCTCTTGTTGCTGGGACAAAATGCCCCATACCCAATATTAAGGAAGAAAAGGTTTATTTAGCTCATAGTTTGTGGAGGTTTCGTCCATAATCGGCTGGCTCCAAGACAGTGTGGCTTGGCACTGGGGGCAACACTTAAAGGTAGCAGCCATAGCAAAAGGGGAAAGCACAAGCCTCTTTTCCTCCCTTATGTTGTATAGCACTATCCCCCACCTCCTCCAGGGCTAGTATAGCACTCACAAAATCTGTGTACCCTCCTCTTGCACAGGATGAGGATATTTACAAAGTAAGAATCCTGGCTTCCTGCTGAGTCTCTTAGTTAAATTTCTAAACTCAAGTTGACGCAATGTATTGTTGATATAACAATTAGTATGAATATGTCATTGTTAATCATTAATCTCTTACATATATATCTCTTATGTTCTTTGCTATAGAATTGCTCATTTACAGATGTCTTTTTTTCTAGTATTGAGGACTGAAGCGAGAGCTTAGCACTGGCTAGGCAAGTACTGTACCCAGGAGCTACATCCCTAGCCTTTATTTTGACACAGTCTCAGTAAGTATTGCAAAAGTAAAAAGGGAGAGAGAAAGTCAATGACTTCAACACTGATCCTTATTTATACATATACATGTATCTTTTCAAGATCATTAATCTTTTGCATCTTTAACAAAAGCATATACCTGAAATGGAATGTTTTTGGTTGAAATAAACTTTCTCATTGATTTGTTAGTTTTAAAGTTCTCAAAATAGTTTTTTGTTTTTCTTTTTTTTTTTTTTTTTTTTTTTTTAGATTTTTTATTATTTTGAAGGTAGTAAAATACAACAGAACAGGATGGACCAAAGCCAATTGAGACAGTGTAGTGAAATAGTACAGAACTTCACAGTAGGTTACCAGGATAACAGTAATAACTACCACACTATATCTCGTTATCTTCACAATAGTTTTTCTTTCAATCAGGTATAGCAAAATAAAATGAAATACAGAACATTATAGAACTTACCAAAACAGAATATTGAATAGAGCAATACTATTAATCAGAATAAAGCAAAACAGTGGTAAAAATTTTTGCTTTCAAAGAGATGGCAGAAGGAAATCCCTATTTGCTATATTGCATATGGTCAGCCTCCTAAGAGATGATCTGAATCTCTGGCTCCCATTTGCTAATGAGGAGCTATGATGTTTGATTCTCAGCCTGTACACCAGTAGGCTCACTACCGCTCAGCAGTGAGGCGAGCTGGTTGCTTGGTTTCCCAGCGCCTTAAACTCCAACATGGCACAGATCTCCAGAGATGTTGGTGGTTCTTGCCCCGGGGCAGCTGCAGCTTGCTGAGCCACAGCTGCTTACCAAGGGGGCCAGCTGGTTTACTTGGTTTCCCAGCACCCTAAGTTCCAACATGGCGCAGATCTCAGGAAATACTGGTGGTTCTCACACTGGGGTGGTCATAGCCTGCCACACCACAGCTGCTGACCAGGGAGGGAGGCAAGCTGGTTGCTTGGTTTCCCAGTGCCCTAAATTCCAAGATGGCACAGATCTCAAGAGATGCTTGTGGTTCTTGCCCTGGGGCAGCCACAGCCTGCCACACCACCCAAAGTAGTTTTTAAACTCACCAAAATAAAAATAATTTTTACGTAAGTTTTCCTTATTCCTTGATTGTTCACTTGGCTTTAGATAATTGTGAAAACATATGCAGCACAGGGGAACACAGTGGGTAATGTCCAAGAGTATTAATGACCAGGATAAACTTTATAGAGTTTTTAACTTGTGATCCTGCCTCAGCCTCCCAGAGTGCTGGGATTGCAAGCATGTTCCAGCATACCCAAATAATAACTGCGTTGGGTAAGCCCTCCTTTTGGTTTCTTGCCTCTCTTCCAAGTTCTGTTCTTCCTTTTAGTGGTCCCATCCCTCTATTTTTCTTGCTGTTTGGCAAGCAGAGCCTTTCAAGTAAGGAAGAAAGCATTAGTCCCCACATAATAATGATATCATCATTTATACCACCCAACTGTACAAGCCTGGGGCCGGAACCTGGTAATTGTCTTTAGGACTTCTCCTTTATCCCCAGTCTAACTGATCACCAATTCTATTTTACCTCCTAGAGCTTTTTCATTTGTTCTCTGCTTTATTTCCACACAGCCTAGTTAAAGCATCTCTTCCAGTCTAATGTCTTTTCTGATCTCATCCATTTTTTTGCCTTTCACATCCATGTTGTCTGCTGTATTGCAATCATAGGAAGCATTTAGAAAAATGCATGTCTTATAGTACCCATTTTCTTAAAATACTTTAGTGGTGTTTTAATTTAGTCAAAAACTCAATTGTTTCAGCAGGGGAAACTAGGTAATAAGTCCCTTTCAACCAACAAGCCCCTCATTTAGAAAATAGACTTAAACATAAGAACTTCAGACCCAGTGAAGAAAAGTAGATGTCAGGGAACAGAAAGGTTTCAAGGATGGCTAACAAGCACTGAGCAGGGCCGGTGTTGGATGAAGGTTCCTAGTTCAGGGCAAGGCAGCAGTTTGGTCAGGTATCCCATATATGTAACTTGTGTGTCACCATAAATGTTAGACTTTTCTGGAAAGTTGCTCATTTAGTCATTTTCATATACGGATGAACATGTCTGCATTCACTTTATTTGGATTGAAATTATTTCAACTAATTTATTTAAATCAAGAGACTAGTGACCTATAACATTTGGGGGTGGGGGTAAGGAGGGAAATGTACAAGCAATAAGATCATGCTCGTGTAGGCACAGGTAGGCAAACCCCTGGTAGCCAGCTACCTGACATAGGTAAAGGTGGCAGCAAGATTTTAGAATGGCTGACATGGGAAACAAGGGCCATGAAGGGGTGGTTTAATGAGACAGCAATAAATGCCAGATGGTAAACAGCAAAGGAAATGATATCCTAGAAAATTAGCAGTTTCCACGCCAAGTATCAAGGAAAGACCTTGGAACTGCTTCCTCCGAAAACAGTGAGGAAAGCAGTAGGCAAAGAAAATTACTGGGTAGCACTGTTTGGCAATGGTGTTGAGGAATGGAAAGTGGCTGCTGGGCAAAAGCATGGTTTTGCTTTTTTTTTTCTTGATGCATCTTGGGCTAGGTGGCCGCGAGCTTGTAAGGAAGATCACAAGACCAACTCCCCCTTGTCGCCTGAGGCGTAGACATAGGCACCCTACCTCGCCCCAGAGTCAGTCCCACGGAAGGACCCTGGGCGCATGGGCGGGGAAGCCGGAGGCGGGACTTCCGGCGTGGCCGGGGCCCGCTGCCCGACGTTTTTCCGGCAGCTCTTGAGCGCTTGAGGCTGGCGGCGGGCCGTGCGGACTTCTCGGCGGGGCTGGCTGAGTGCGGATAGTGTGCGGAGTGGGGCTGAGGAGCCCCTCGGAACGGGAAGGAAAATACATTGTGGACCGCGGCCCCGCGCCTTTTAGAGGTGGCATTTCTTGTGGGAAGACCAGGCCGACCTGCTGGGTGTCCCCGGGAAGACATCGTCCCGGAGGTGACCGCCCCCTCAGCCGTCCGCGCATGCGCAGATCGTGAAGCAGGGTTCCTTGCCTCCAGGTGGGTGGTGGTTGCATGGTAGTCCATTCCTCGAAAGCTGCTCCTGTTTTTGGACGCCAGCATCCATCTGGTCAGCCTGGTTTGCCAGCCCCTAGAAATTGGGCGGGGCCAGAGTGCAGAGGCTAGTGATGAAGTCCCTGTAGGAGAAGAAGGAGCAAAGGAGGGAGACGGAGAGAGACGGAGACAGAGCGTTACTCAGGAGTTTAGGAGCGGGTAACCAGGACAGTGTAATGGGTAAAGTAGGGGTACATGAGGCTCTTAGCTCTACCTGAAAGAACAGGACACGGAGGCAGCTTGCCAGAGTGAATGTACCTGATGGGAAGGAAGATGTAGGAGGGAGAAAGGATGGTTCAGAAGGAAGTCCAGCAGTAGAAGAGAGGTGAAGTACACCGAGGAGGCTGCAATGCTATAGAACTTGGGTGTGGAGATGGAGCTAATTGAGTGGAGGGCTTTGTTCACCAGTGTTCTTGTTACATTAGCCTGAGGATATTAGGGGACCCTTGGAAGATTCTACTGGGGAGTGATTGCATAATAACATTTATTGAATACACACAGTGGTTGCAGAAAAATCTAGAATCATATGAGGAAGAAAGGAGTTTTATTGCCCAGGGCATTTAGAAGGCATATTTTGAAGAACAACGCGCCCCCCCCCCCCGCCCCGGGAAAATGTTACTGAAATCTTATTTCATCTTAAATGTTTATGCAAATTCTGAATTACATGCCACATATATCTTTATTTTATTATATTTTCTCCACCCCTCAAATTACAATAATGCTCTAGGACTTTGCATTATATTTATCCTGTCATTTTGTTAGTTCTTGACATGTACCCTTCTCTGTTTCTTCCAGCTCCTCAAGTATGTCTTTCTAAACATGGAACACTATGCACAATGCTTTATGGATATTACTTTAATACTCATTAATCATTAGAAGTGAGCGTTATTCTTTTTACTTTAGCAAAAAAGAGACTGAGAGGTTAAGAAAATTGCCTCAGTGCGCATAGCTTGTAAGGATTCATACCCAGGCATGTTCATTTCCCTTGTTCTTAGTAGTTAAATTATGTGTGGTTGGATCCCGGAGAATGGATTTTGGACTGGACATAAGAGACATATAAGAGACACTACTGAGGAAGTTGATGAATGAGGCCAGACAAGATAATTTCAAATTAAGTTTAGTAAAAATGAAGAGTAGTAGTTTCAAGACAGCAAAGAATGTGAAACTGATGTGATTTAGCATCTGGATTGCTGGTGCTGTCATTTAGTCAGTTTATGAGGAGAAAAAAGACGTTTGTTGGATTGAGATGTGTCTGGGATAGTTGAGGGCAACTGTCTTTTTGTTTTGTTTGTTTGTTTTGTTTTGAGGTACTGGGAATATAACTCAGGACCTCTCCATTGCCAGGCAGGCCCTGTGCCACTGTGCTATATCCCCAGCCACAGGCAGCTATCCTTTGTGATAAGATTTGATAGACAAAGAAAGGAGAAAAGAGGCCTTTATTGTGGGCATAGGAGGGCTGCGGAACAGATGCAGGTACCCTCAGGTGAATACAAAGTGGAAGTACTTTTACCAGGTCTGGCTGGGGGAGGAGTTTGGGAGTTGTGCAGAATGACATATTACCAACTGATTTGAAGGAGCCTCTGCCTGCGAAAAAGATTTACTGAGGGCTGGGGGTGGAGCGAGCGGTGGTTGTGGAATCTTGGGATTGGAGCAGGTTCTGTGCATGCACAAAAAGAAAGTGGGAAGTCTATTTCTGGAACCAGTAGGAGAACATAGAAGTTACTCTTAGATAAATTGCTTCTCTGGACCCAGTACCAAGTTGGGCAGATGTTATGTTTGAGATAGCTAAGCCTCAGGCTGGCAGGATCTATCACTTTGAAGCATCTGAAAGAGCTTTTATTGGGATGAGACAGAATACTTCTTTTTTTTAAAAAACATTAAACAGATACCACCATCAGTTATTTATGGGTCTTCTAGAGGATATCCCACATAAAGGGTTCACAGTTAGAGATAGTAGATACGGACTCAAGGTAAACAAGAACAGACTACCTTTGGAGACTAAAATTGTTTTGAGGATAGTACTGATATTTTATAATAACAATTGGCTCTAGGAGCTGTATATCTTAGTCACCTTTGTCACTGAAACAAAAATACCTGACATCCACAGCTTAAAAGAGGAAAGGTTTATTGTGGCACACAGTTGAGTACATAGTTAGCTGATTTCAAGGCAGGATGTCATGGCGGAGGGACATGTTGGAGAAAAGCTGCTAATGGCATGGTGTCTAGGAGAGAGAATCAAGGGAGGAGCTGGGAAATGAGATAAATCCTTGCAGGTTCCAGTGATCCACCTCCCCTGAACATATCTGACCTCCCAATAGCAAGCCAGCTAAACTGCCTTTATAATGCAGTAATCTTCCAAACACATGAGGTTTGGGGGCCATTTTACATCTAACCCATAACACTGTAGGTTCTTCATCTGCACATTCAACTGCAGATCAAAAATATTACAAAAAAAAACCCCTCAATGTTTGTACTCAACACATGCAAACTTTTTCCTTATTATTCCTGAAACAATACATATGACAACTATTTACATAGCATGTATGTGGTATTATTTTAAGTAACAGAAGTGATTTAAATTATACAGCAGGATGTGCAAATAAATACTACATCACTTTATTAAAGGAATCTAAGCATGTGGATTTTGGAACCAATCCCCTGTGGATACAGAGAGATGAGTGTATATTTTATCAAATACTAAATTCTGTTTGAGGTAACAAGTATTGTAAAAGTCAAGATCAGAATAGAGACCATAGCAACAATGGTCAAGGATTAGTGGGATGGCTAGGGAAGAAAATGTGTGTAGAGGTTTTAGTGGGCCACCTCAGTGTTATTTTTTAGGCCTTGATCAGTCACTCTCAAATCTCTGATATTCCAAAAGAGTATTTTAGAGTTTAAAAGGTGTCTTCTATGCAATAAAGAAAAGAAAGACTTTTTCTTTTGACAGTATTAAGCCTATGTGAATGCTTTAGTGATGATTAAAACTATTAACAATATTATGACAATTCTCTGGCTCTAGTTGGAGATTTTCTTTCTTTTTTTTTTAAAGTACAGCTCTTACCATTGTTTTTTGAGTCATCTTTATGCATTGTCCTTTGATCATTTTAGGATTAATATTTTTTGTTGACTTTTAAGTCTCCTAAAAGTTGTATTTTGAGAGAAACAACTTTAGGTCCCTTCTTATATAAAAAGAGAATGCTTTGTCTTCATTTTTCCCATCCTTATTTCCATGATGCAGTTAGTAAAGTTTTTAATATGATTTTTTAAAGCATCTTGTTAATTCAGGCTGACCTTGAACTTGTGGCAGTGCTCCTGCCTTGCCTCCCAAGTGCTCAGTTTACAAACCTGTGCCACCACACCCAACTCCATTTCATGTATTTTAAATGGAAGAATCCAATTTAACACATTCTAGTCAGACTCTAGCAGCAGCCTAGTCATTTGACTCACAAACTGTTTTCTCTCTAGGAGGTAATAATTGATGCTGTTTTTGATGTACTGTTTATTTCAAGATCACAGTGAAGATCAGTAGTAGAATAACACAAGGATGTTAAAAGGGAGAAAACAGAAGTGGAGCATTGGCTAATGAGAGCTCCTAACAGCTTTTTTATTTTGTCTTTGTGCTTTTTTTTCCCCCCTTCTCAACAGATATAGTGAAAGAAAAACAGACTTTGGGAGGGGGGTTGGTTTTTTGAGATAGGGTCTTGCTATACAGTTCAGGCCGACCTTGAGCTCACTATGTAATCCCCGTGGTCTCAAATTTGCAATGATCCTCTTGTCTCAGCCTCCCAAGTGCTGGAATTACAAGCATGTCCTACCATGCCCAGCTTCAGAATTGGGTTTTACTTAAAATTCACAAAATGTTTTCAGGGTGGGAGTTTTTATGTTGAGCATCTTAGTTACTTTTTTCTCACTGCTGAAACAAACTACCTGACACTCAAAGCTGAAGGAGGAAAGGTTTAGTTTGGCTCATGGTTTGTAGAAGGTTCAGTCCATTAGTGACTGCTCCAAGCAGGGTAGCATGGCAGAGGGACCTCACAGAGGAGATGCAGTTTGGTGAAACAAGACAGGCAGAAGGCAAGGAGCAGTATGTGAAGAAGCAAATGACAAGCCCCAGATCTTTCTTACCCTTTATTTTGTATCCAGGCTACCTACCCCCCAGGGCAAATAGCACTCACACCCAGGGTGGAGCACTTTTTTTTTTCTTTCTGCTTCTTAAATTTCTTGAGAGGTTGGAACACTTTTAATCCTACAAAGTTCGAGGCTAGTCAGTAGGTTGAGTAGCCACATACCTTTAATCCCAGCATCACAGCTGTAGATCCTGCCAACTCTGAAAAGCCCCACCCTATGACTTTATGAGGCTTGGAGGGGCCAGTAGACACAAGCCCTACTCAGTGAATACTGATAGTCTGGACTAATTTTTTAATAACTGTTAAATATATGAGGCTAAAATAGAACAGGACTACTTTTATTATGAAATAGGTCATCTATACAAGAGTACATGAAACATGTAATACTTAAAGTAAAAACCATGTGAGCCAATTTGGAGACTGCGCACCTGACAGCTAAAAGTCAGGGCTTTTATCTTGTAAATCCACAGACAGCTGCTGGTCACCCAATGTAAGGAAGGGGATGGGGGTGTGGCGTAGAAATGGTGATTACACTTCTTGGGAAGGGCAAGATCAGGTAAGGGTTGTGCTAACAAGCAAGTCTCCCTGCCTACAAGCAAGTTTAGATAAGAAGAAATCTTGTTTTTCTTAGCAAAGAATAGAGAATTCTAACAGCAGTTAACAACCTTAGCTCCCCTACCTCAGCACCACAACTGTTATTTGTAGAGGGCAACAATGGTTAACATATCAATTAGGTAAGATTTTACAGTTCTTTACAGAGGAGAGCATTGATTAACATATCAATCCTTTACCCAGAGGGAAAAGGAACACACAGGTATT